CTATTGCCACAATTTAGGTATTTCCCATCTACGGGGGCTGAGGCAAACATTCCAATCGCCGAGCTTCCTCTTACTTGCCTTGCTTGAATCAGATAGCCTTTGATATTATCACTCTAACTTTCGATGGAAACTCTGACATTTTCTCCTGGCATATAATACAATCTGTTGACCTTAACTTCATATGGACTTGCTCCTGCTTGAGCAACAGGTCCATGATTTGGTGTCATGCTTTCACATTGCGAAGACGGCGCTCCGGAAGGATAACATAGACTTTTGTGGAATAAAATCGAAGTAGAGATTACGAAGACTATAGCTATATTCAGCATTGTGGATGGATCGTCTGTAGCTGCAGTGATTCTACTGTATATATATATATATATAGCAATAACAAAATAATAATCATCAAGAAGCAACGAGCAGCGAAGGAACAATTAAATATGGTTGATTTATTGAATCGATCAGCATGAAGCTTGTACGCATGCATGCTGAGTCGTCTGTGTTGACATTCTTAGCCTTTTTGTGTGTGTGGATGACTGTTCATAAACTGAAACTGTTTCATAATCTCGTCTATCGCAAATTTTCTTCATCCTAGCTGATTGCAAAATTTGATTGGGAATCCTTGCACATGCTATAAATGTATGGAAAGACGGAAAATTTATCGTCTCAAGTCTTTGATTTTAAAACATAACAATTTTAACCGCGCTGTGCATGTGATAATACTAGTTTTCAAAAGCAAATTATGGAACCAAAATATACTGAAGAAAGGCTCAGTTTAAATATAGAAGAACTCGAAATTTTTTTGTGGATTTAAGAATTTATGCTGAAGTAATCAGAATGTTGTAAATTAATCGATAAGGCTAAATTAGGGCCTATCATAAGAGAAATAGAAAACGTTTTTTTTTAATTTGCTGTGCTTCTATGTACAGTTATCTCTATTATCGTTCTCCAACACGTGTTTCTATAAGTGTATAAAATGTTTTCTATTTCTTAAACATGAGACAGCTAGCTAATTATATAAAGCCATTCCCCAACTGCCCGTAGCAAAAATAATTTATTCATGTAATGAAAACAACTGGAGTTCAATATTCTATACATTCTGCATGAAAGGTGTCCTCCAGATGTCTTGCATGAGCTTAATCTAAAGCCTGTTCATTTCCATTAATTATCAAAGCTTCGCAGTTTTGTTAAGATTGATATATTAATTAAAATCTATTACTCTATTATTTATCCATTTCTAATTTATGGAATAATAATCTGGGGTAATACTTACAAGACTAACGTTAAACCTTTGACGGTATTACAAAAAAAAGCTATACGTATTATAACTTTCTCACCCTTCGGAACTCACAGTTCTCCTCTTTTCAAAGAACTCAACTTATTGAAATTTCCTGACATTGTTCAATTTTGTACAGTCCTATTTATGCATCAGTACCATTGTGACACTCTTCCAATTGTTTTTACTGATTTTTTTAAAGAATATTAGCATAATTATAATACGCGGTTGTCATCCAAATCTACTTTTGCTTTGCCAAAAGTACGAACAAATTATGGCATTTTTAATATTAGATAATGTGGTCCAAAGGCATGGAACTCTGTTGATGAATCCTTAAAATTATTAAGTAATAAAGCATTTAAAAGACAATTTAAAATATATCTGATAAGTTTATATTAGCTGGTTCCCTAACTCAGATTACTATAATTTAAAAATAACAATTTTGTATTAATAAATATGTGTGGCTACCTGCTCGTCTTATTGACCAGATAATTACGTAACATATTTATATATATTTTAATTTAAGTAAAAAACTGAAAGCACTGATATGGAGCAAACTCATGCTTAGATAAAGATCTGAGCTATCTTTATCTTCCGTGGATGTAATTATATATAATGGTATCTTTTTTCGTAATTCTGTGTTGTATATATAAATGTATTATTATACTTTAGCAGATCACCTGTCTCGATTAGCACCTTATGGTTATAATAGGTGATCTTGCACACTGTCTTTTGTAAAACTTTCTTTTTTTCCTTTTATTAATTGTATTTTTCGTTATGTAATTTATGTGTGCAATAAGATTATTATTATTATTTATTATTATTATTATTATTATTATTATTATTATTATTATTATTATTATTATTATTAATATAGCCGAATGCCATGCAGTGACAAACGAAAAAGTCACTTTGTGTGCGAACAAATTCACCTACTTGTCTATTGAACCTACTTTAAGTTGAAATACTTAAATTAATGTGAAATTATACCGAACTGCACCACTGGCATTGCTTCCAAAGATCACAAAACTAATACGGAATTTGTCGGCGTTTCGTTCTTGTTTTGTTTTTTTTCAGATATTGAATTCTACAATATTAATTTTATATTAATTCATATAGAACAGTTTTGTAAAAACTTGTCGCGAACGTTTTAAAGTTCAATACGAGATATTGCCCAAGATTAAGTTCATTAAGTTTTTTACAGCCAAATTTTTGACACTCAGTTGCTAAGCACCATTAAAATCAGTGCGGCAATATAATAAACGACAGGTAACATAATGTCGGATTTCTTAACTTGCGTTCGAAATAGATGTAAACCAAACTTTCTTCACATTTCAAAAAAGAAGAGAGTTTACTATATTTAAACAAAAATATTACCAAACAAAATATTAATCTACTGGACACTGATAAGCCTAGCTATCATAAGCAAGCTAGTATATTAAGTACTGATAGAGTGCTATGGCTGAATTGAAAATTAATATTTTTTAAAAAGCTGCTAATAAAATGTTCTTATAAATATTACTTATTTTAGGCTTAATGTCTCAATCTCATCTAAATTTATTAAGTCGGTAAACTTCTGCAAGAGTCACACCAGCGTTAAGACTATAAATAAACTAATTAATATATATATATGAACAATGTCAATACATATAAATACATATACGCTTAAAAGGTCCCAAGTTAGCTATCAGGCTAGCTATATATATACTGTTTCCAACCCTATAGGCCTATATAGCCGGCTAACCTTTTGTGTTCTACTTTGAGAATATAATTTAAATTTTACCTTGCTATTGCCACAACTCAAGTGCTTTCCATTTACGGGAGCCGCTGCAAACATTCCCGTCGCTGAGTTTCCTCCTACTTGTCTTGCTTGGATCAGATAGCCTTTGATATTATCACCCGAACTTTCGATGGAAACTCTGACAGTTTCCCCTGGCATATAATACGGTCTGTTGACCTTAACTTCGTACGGACTTGCTCCTGCTTGAGCAACAGCCCCATGATTTGGTGTCATGCTTGTACATTGCGAAGTCGGTGCTCCGGAAGGATAACATAAACATTTGTGGAATAAAGCCGAGGTAATGATAACGAAGACTACGCCTATCAATTCCATTGTTGACTGAACTGAAGCTTTTTTAAATGGAAAACGCTAACACTAAACACAAGAATAATACAGCCAAGGCGAAGCAATATAAGCTACTGCAAGGCGTCTTTTTCACAATGCTTGTCTATATTGTTACTCATCTGCATTATACAATGGCGCACGTATTATGATTATAATGCTAATCGCTAAAGCTGCTATCATCATTCATCATGCATGCAATATACATGTATGTTGGCTATAAATCAGAATCCATATTATTTTAATGAATGAATTGCTGAAATTAAGCGTATTAATGACTTTTTGTCGCGCTGCTCCTACTCGAGAAGTTTTGAAAAATTTAAACCCTAAAGTTAAAGCTAACAAAACCGCCTAATTGCACCTGTCTACCTACTCCTTTGGAATAAATTATTAGTAATACTTGTTTTGCCGTGGATAAGCGTGTTTTTTTTCAATGGAACGTACGCCTTGAATTTCGGTACAAATGTTCATGACAACCATTTTTAAATGGTTATTTTTAAATGGCTTTTATATATAAGCACTTTAAAAAGTGCTTATATATTATGCAACGAGATTTCGCGCCATCGTTTTCATGATGGAAATGACTAGTAAGATACTTTCTTAGCTAAATGTATCTTTTATAACACCCCTCATAGATACAGCTGATTTAGATTTGTTGGCATAATATGTACATCTACTTCAGTTTATGTTGTCACAACCAATAGTCAAATAATTTATACAATCCAAGCGCCAAAAGTATAATAGGAATAAATGTTAACTGGAATTAAGATGCGCCCGCACTGTTACGCATAACACGTTGTTGTATATAAATATAATGTGAATATATAATGAGAGCTAGCAACGAGGCGTTTTACATTGCTGTCGAGCTGTTCTGGGCTGAAATATCTTTACCCGCGGCTGCTGCATGGTGGGTGATGAGTTCGTTTCTCTGCTACGGTTAATGTCATTATTTCACACCAGCGAGTGATAAGGCAATAACATCTCGCTTCTATATCGCACATAGCATTGTTTCGTTGCTTGCAGTTCAATTCTTGTTTTGAGAAGAGTCAACATCTTCGTTTAATATGTCAGCTTCAGATGAAACCATTCACTGCAATAATTTAATATTGTACTCAGAACTGCAAAACTATAAAATAAGAAAGAACTTGTGAGGATTATCGAAAAATATAGCATACTCTGAAATATAGTGACACAGCCAGGTGAAGAGTGGACCGCATATCTCATAGATATAAACAGACCGTCATATCTTGTACAAAAGTCAGTTGACCTGCTATTACATGTAACTGCTGGTAAGTTAATATGCACAGACAACAATCCACTTTGGGTTAATAAATCATATTGTTTCAACACCTCTATATTGAACACTAAATAGCAGATCTAACTATGAATGCCTTCATGTTTATCACCAGAAAGAAATAAAGCCATCTTTACCTGAATTATTCAAAATATTGTTGATCGTTTGCATCATAAAAATCCTACATACTGCATAATTTATGTGAATAAGCTCGTAACTAGTGAAATTCTGAGAAGAGTCACGCGTGTGCAACACAATAGAATTTGACAACCCTCCCCTCCCCCTGAAGCTTACTTATTCCTCCTAAATTACAACAAACATCTTTACATAGACAGATACACAAAATCGAGATTTCGGCATATTGATAGATAGATCGCGCAAAAGACTGGGTCGAGTGGACTCTGGAGAAACCATATAGTACGTCAAGAATAATCAAAAAGGAGTCGTGTGTGTTAATGGTGTGGTAATGAACGAGAGGAATGTTGGAAGAATGCGGGTGAAGCTTGTAAAACACGAGGCATTTACCGTTTATAGCGCTAAATGCATGCAAGTCTTTCAGAATCTATTTTTGAGGTTTGTCATTCGAAACTGATAAAATACTCGGCCAGATGGTATGTCAAACCATTCAGTAACATATATTAAACTATTAAAGTGCCCGTAACCCCAAAATTTATTTTCAGCTTGTTAAAAGTATGCTACCAGTGGAACAGTATTGCGAAAAAATTTTTGCGTTTGGTTGAAAAGCAAACATTTTAGAGCCACTTGAATTATGGATTGCCTGGTCAATGGACGTCGTGTACGGGAGTCTGGGTCTAGCACAATTTCTGACGTCACGCGAGTTACTGAATATCACCACCAAATAAGTAAATACACGAGTCTTGCCACTAAAACTTTGAACTGAAAATCATCATGGTGATATGATAAATCTTTCGAAGTTATTATCGTCGTATTTCAGGAATATTACAATTTGAGTATGTTATGTTCAAACTAGGCCGGGTTATATGGTCTTTGATACACTTGCAATTGTTGTCACACGCGTACTAAACTGCAGCTTCTCTATATTTTACGATCATTTTTAGTGAGCATTTTCACAGGTTTATGAAACTTTGCCATGGTTTTTACACTACGCTGATCGATCCACCAAGGATAAAATATGTTGTGGCAATATTTTATTGCCACAACAATCCCTGTGGCAATATTTTATTGCCAGATACCGATCATATGACAAGACAATTTACACTATCTTACAATGAAATTGGTGCGCTATTCGGTCACCACAAAGTTGGGATCACTAGATATCACACCTGTAAACCGGTAGTATTTTAGTCATTTCACGATCAAAGTATTGTGTTTTAACGGGATAGTGTTCTTGTGAAGTACGCATATATTTCTTACAGTTAGAGTTGGCAACAAATACATTGTACTCGCAGATCTCAAGCACATATCAAATGGCAGTATAGTGACACAAGATTTACGATTCCAATGCAAATAATATAGCGAATGCGTTTTAGAACATAAATTTACATAACAGAACATAAATATACCATGCAACGACTATTAGCGCAAACGGTAAGCTTTTCGACAGAACAAACGCGCTATTATACAGACATTCATCAGTACCAGGGCACCAGGCCAATTTAAGTTCCGTTGCAATTTAATACGATACTTGTTATTATTGAGCAAACTGCCAGGCAAACTGTAAACTTCATGGATCAATATTTTCGAACAAGCAAGCACGCTCTTCTTTAGTGATATATTTGTACAACACGGATTTTTTAAAGTTGATATTTCCATAGTCCTATCGGTTAACGTTTCGTGTAGCGTCTTGTTATACTGAAATTTACATACAAACGCGCTCCTGCTGAAACCACAACTAACTCGCGTGACGTCACAAATAATGCTCGTTCCAGACTTCAAGCAGTTAAATATTCCGACGGCCATGTGCCAAGTAAAATCGCAATATAAGCAGGTTAAAGTGGCTCTAAAATTTTTGCCTTTTAACCAAAAGCAAAAATGTTTTCGCGAAACTACTACACTCATAGCATACTTTTAATAAGCCGAAAATCAATTTTGGGGTTACGGGCACTTTAAAGCAATCAAGAATATTTTTCGGTTTGAACATGCGAAGAACTGTAAATGTACTTGCAGTCTACTTAATAAGGAGAAAAATAGAGAAGGCAGGATACTTCCGCTCCAATTATCCCAAATTAGTCGCATCGACTTCACAAATCGGTTGAGCGTTCGCGAATTTGAATAATCGAATTACACTCTCTGCTGTCATTGGTTGATACGAATCGCGTACGCGCGACAACAACAACGCGATTCGCATCAATCAAAGTGTGTGTTAATTCGAATTCGCGAGCTCTCAACGGAATATGTTGGAGTATGAGGGATCATGCTGCATAAGATCGAACATTTTATGGAATTTTACGGACCAAAAAAGGTTTGTGATTGGCTGATTGCTGAACACGATGTATGTTAGTAGGACATTTACTGGGATTAACAAATATGTTTTTTTGGCAATTCGATGCGTTATTTAGCGACGCGAGAACGATTTACGAAGTCGATGCGACTAATTCGGGATAATTGGAGCAGAAGTACACTGCCTTCTTTGTTGTTTTCTCCTTATTAGGTAGACGTATCTCAAGCGGATTGAATCATAGCAAATCAAACCCGAAAAGTCAATTATACTGATTGTAGTAGTGGTAAGCAACCTTATTTCTCAATTTAATACAATATTTTAGCGTTTTTGTACAATATATATTCTGTCATAGTATGCTAATATAAAAATACAAATATACCCTGGGGTCGGTTGCATAAAAACGAGTTAACTTTAACTAAACTTTAACTATGATTAACGTTAATCACTGTAGTCAGTCAAATCCTTATAACTATGATTAGTTAACTACACGACTTAATAGACAATTCCCATTATACTAGATAGACTAATTTTAAAAGTTAACTACTAAAATGAGCAAAATTGCAAAATTTGGTTGCGAAATGTTGTAAAATGCGGAAAATATAGCCTTGTAAAGTTTGCAAATTTTGTATACTTTTGTATTGCGTGCGGAATTTGCTACCATTTTCGGACCAAATGTGGTAGCAATTTCCGCACGCAATACAAAAGTACACAAAATATGCGAACTTTGCAAGGCTATATATTTTCCGCACTTACAACATTTTAGCAACCAAACTTTGCAATCAGTTTACCAATTTTAGTATGCTCTTTCCGGGAATATACTTTTTCTTGCCAAGATAAAAATTAGTCTATAGTGGGAATATAGTCTATTGCGTTGTACATGCCAAAACGTAGTTTGTCGGATGATTATTGAGTAACTAATCACGTAATTAACTTCTGTGGGGGTACTGGTTAAACAGTAAAATTACATAAAGTAAAGAATCGTTAAGGACCGCTTACACGTATTTGTAACATGATTGTGGACTCATATTCAGGGCCTTTTTAACATACAAGCTGAGGGGTGTACTCTGTCTCCCCCCCAGTCCCCCCTTGAGCCCCCCCCCACGAAATCACATTTTGTCCCCCCCCCCCAAGGAAAAGTCCCTTTTTCCTAAATGTATACCAACAAAACAGCGAAGAATAACAAATAAATAAACGGAAAGTAAGTTTTAGGCTTTATCCTTTGTCCTTGTTTAACAAAATCGATCTAAATTGTTACGTTTTTCTACCACTAAGTAATGATAAATTATTGTTAATAATTTTTTTATTTTTTGGTTGCTCAGAAGGCAGGAAAGAGCATTTCCAGGTTTCAAATTTGAAAAATTTTCTGGAGATTATGCCCCCACACACGTGGCCTTCGGCC